GATCTCCCGCAGCTCGCTCCCCCGCAGCGCTCCTTTCCTCCTCTCCAGTTCCCGCGCGGCCTCTGCCGGGTGCGCGCTCAGCGCCGCCATATCGAGCTGCGGCTTCGCGCTCAGCCCTTCCCGCACGTGCTCGTAGAGGCGGCTCCGCTCCGCCGGTCCCCGCGGAGCGCCTCCGGTGCCGGCTGAGCGCCGCCCTCGTGTTGCTGCCGCCACAGCGCGCCGCGCCGCAGCTAGCGCCCTGGGCGCCGCCATCTTGGACAGTCCTCCAGAAGTCAGGACGGTCACGTGGCGGAAGCGGAGCCATTCGGCGGAAGTGAGACTGGAACCACGTGACGGAAGTGGATCTACGTACCGGAAGTGGAGCCACCCCCAACCCTAGGATCCTCCCCCCCTCCCTCCCCAAGTGACGACAACTCTTCGCATCGCTCCGGGAACGCAAGGCTTTAATGAATGTATAAGCAGGGATCCTTCGGCCGCGCTCACTTCTTTTTCTGCACGTGGGCGCAGTCGTACTTCCCCCGCACGACGGTCAGCTTCACCCCAGGCAGGTCCTGCGTGCGGCCGCCCTGCACCAGCACCACGTGGTGCTCCTGTAGGTTGTGGCCCTCGCCCGGCACGAAGCACACCACCTCCCGTCCGTTGCTCAGCCGCACCCGCACGCATTTCCTGTTGGCTGAGTTGGGCTTCTTGGGTTTGCGGATCAGGTTCCTCACCACCACCCCCTTCAGCTGCGGGCGGCCGAAGGTGGGCCCCAGCTTGGGAGGCGGCGGCTTAGGCCGGCCCTGTCGGTGCATTTGGTTCAGCGTAGCCATGGCGGCGGTCGGCGGCGCCCCGAGGACTGCAGGGATAAAAAGGGGCGGTCAGCGGCAGCGGGACGGCTCGGAGGGGACGGGGACCGGCGGTACGCACCGCAGCCGCGCAGCGAGGCTGCGGTCCTCAGTACAGCGCGGAGCGACATCCTGCGGGATGGACAGTCCTCCAGCCTCCTGCGGGGGACACGCGGTTAAAGCTCTCCCCGCGTGGCGGCTCCGCAATGGGACGCAAAGCGCGATCGCAGCGGCAATTCACACGGCCGGCATCTTACCGCTCTCCTCCGCGCCGTGCGGATTTTCCGCCCCACCCGCCGCGCTGTGGCTGGTCAGTGCCAACGCCAATCTCGCTCAGCCTCCTTACGATTGGTCGAGCTCTCTCATCTGCCCGCCCCCCACACGGGTGCTCGGCGGGACCAATAGTATTGAGGGGGCGGGGCTTGTTGCTAAGGGAACGGGGGGCGGGGCTTGTTGCCAAGGGAACGGGGGCGGAGCGCGGCCCAGCGCGGCGGCCTTCCAACATGGCGGCGGCGGAGTGAGAGGAGCGGCGCGTCCGGCCTGGGGGGGGTGAGCGGGGCCGGAGGGGCCCGGGGTTACGGGGTTATGTGGGTGAGGGTCTTTAGATGGCGGTGCTGGGAAGGATTTGGGCTCCCTGAGGTTGGGGGGTGGGGGTCTGTGAGTGCGGTGCTGTGGGCGGCCTGCGCCTGGAGGGGGTGTGGGTGAGTTGTGGAGGCCCTGAGGGGAGGGGATAT